AGTGATTCATATAGGGAAAAAATCATATGCTCACAGCTGCATATCTTTGCTTGGAAACACGAAGGGTTTTCGGGCAAAGATAAAATGAGCAATTACGAGCGATTTTTGCCCGTTTGAAACTTCATGAGAAGCATCTTTTAAAAAAGTCTGACCGAGCCTTGCTTCAGAGGTTACCTACATATCCTTGGCTATAAAGGAATCAGATCAGTGTAGTTCTGGAAGTTTTGGGTAGCTGGAACTACCGAAAAACTGTGATTTCACTGCTGTTGCTGTTGTTTCTGCTTGATGAGCTCCTTATTACACCAAAGTGAAAGATGAAAAGTTAAACTAGCTAAGCTTATCAACTAACGAGTTACAAGATTCCTATCTATAAACCTTCTAAAGTTTGATCTTGAGTCTTGGCCAGTTCTTCCAGCAGACTCTGATCTGAATCTCGATGCTCGTTAGCTGCAACCGCTGGTTCATTCTTCTTCGGCTTTTCGGATCAAGGGGGGTCATGCAAAGCTTGTGACTTCAATCATATCTTGGGCAGTTCACATCTTTTCTCCGTTTCTATACTTGGAGTTCAACTTCTTTTCTTGTTCTTCCTTTCTTTTATTAGGGTTGACACTTCTTCTTTTGATTATCTTAAACCTTGTGTCTCTCGGTGAAAACCTGTTCAGGCACCAAAGCAAAAAACGAACAACATTTCCTGCCCCAGTTTTCACTAGGAAACTTTCGTGAGTTATTTGTAACAAAAATCTAAATTATTTCTTTATTGAAAGCAATAAAATCAGGATTGTGTATCCTTGGGAAAAGATATTAGGGAGTGGAGCCCTATATCTATAATGACTTCAACTAAGGAGTGGAGACCCTATGTTGGAAAAGAGACTAGGGAGTGAAGACCCTATAAAAATAAAATCAACTAGCAAGTGGAGACCTTATGTTGGAAAAACGACTAAAGAGTTGGGACCCTATGTCTAAAATAACTTCAACTAGGGAGTGAAAACCCTATGTTAGAAAAGCAGACTAGGGAGTGGGGACCCTATGTCTAAAATAACTTCAACTAGGGAGTGGAGACCCTATGTTGGAAAAGCAGACTAGAGAGTGAGACCCTATGTCTAAAATAACTTCAACTAGGGAGTGAAGACCCTATGTTGGAAAAGCGACTAGGGAGTGGGGACCCTATGTCTAAAATAACTTCAACTAGGGAGTGGAGACCCTATGTTGGAAAAGCGATTAGGGAGTGGAGACCCTATGTTTAAAATAACTTCAACTAGGGAGTGAAGACCCTATGTTGGAAAAGTGACTAGGGAGTGGAGACCCTATGTCTAAAATAACTTCAACTAGGGAGTGGTGACTCTATGTTGGAAAAGTGACTAGGGAGTACCCTATGTCTAAAATAACTTCAATTAGGGAGTAGAGACTCTATGTTAGAAAAGTCACTATGTTGGAAAAGTGACTAGGGAGTACCCTATGTCTAAAATAACTTCAAATAGGGAGTGGAGACCCTATGTTGGAAAAGTGATTAGGGAGTGGAGACCCTAGGCTACCATGTTTTTGAATTTTCTTCTTTTTGTTTTTATTATTTAAGAAAAAAATGAGTAAGAATGCAGGAAAGAATTTGGAAGAGACTTCCTTTTGGATTGATTATTGCTGCAAAACTATTTCTAGCCCTTGCGTAGTTTCTTTTGGTGGCACCTGCTTCTTGCAAGGTTGCTTTAGATTGCACCCGTTTCATATTTTCAAACAAAGAAAAATTGTTAGTTTGAAATGGTGGTTGGTTTTCTGGCCTTGATTGTTTTGATCTCGGCCCAACTCTTTCGATGAAAATCTCTATTGCCCGCTGGCTTTATAGATATAAATCTCTCTTTTAAACCTAGGGATCTTGACTTTCCAAAATTTCAAATGATGGTTAGCCCGTGTGGGGCTTTGGCCTTTTCATCTTATTCTGCCTTTATGGGCACTTGACTTTGAATTTCTTTCCTTTTCAATAATTTTGAATCTGGAGCATCGGCCATCATGGCCAGTCGAGACCGACTTGATGCACCTGCTGAGGCTGGGTGCTTTTCCTTGAATTTTGGCTTTCATTAAGTAGAACCCTATAAAACCAATCTTGCCATCTTTTCTTTGTATTAATTCCGGAGAAGGATTAAACCAAAAGGGATTCAAATAAAAGTAAATAAAGGACATGATAATGAATTTAACAAGAAGTGTCCCTTTCGGGGGAAAGAGAGAAGGACTTATCTCGAGTGCATGCAGACTTTAATAGACATGAAATACTTCTTGGACTGGATACCTGATCTGTGCAACCATCTAATCTCTCATAAACCCATCATAACTCGTATATCAAACCGAGAAACCTTGCCAGGACTCTATTAGTGCCGATGGTTGTAAGGAATTCCTTCTTTTTCGATCAATGGCGCCCTTTGCGGGTTTTCACCAACTGACCTCTCTCATTTCTCTTCTCACTGTCGCCTTATAGTGCTCTTTGCGATTTTTCACTAACAAGACTCTCATTTTCAGTTTCTCTGCTCACCATCGCCTTACGGTGCCCGTGTGGATTTTCACCAATAAGACTCTCTTATTTTATTTCTCTCATTTGATTGTATTAGATCCAACAACCTCTCCTTGTGAACTTCTTTGAACACAACTTGGATTGAACAACGATCCGAAGGGCTTTGAACAGGATTTTGGGTAACAAGAGTTTGGATTGAACTACAACTTTGTAACCTTTCAGGCGATCGTCGCTGAACCATTATAAATTCCGCCCCAGTTTTAACTTTGGGGGAATGTGGATTTTTGTTTTGGTGTGACTGAACCCCAAAGAGAGGCTGCCTACGTATCCTTTCGGAATCAATTCGAACGTAGTTCAGGGGAAACATTGTTTTTGATTTTGATTTAGATTGATTTGTTTTGAACAAATGCTTTCGGATTCCAAAGAGGGTAATCAAAGCAGGGGCGACCCTTCCATAAAGCAAGTAAAGCAAGCGCTTTAGGCCCCATATTTGTGAGGGCCCCATTTTTTGTCACACCTAATAGATTATGTATAAGTTTAAAAAATTATTCTGTAAAGTGAAAAAGTTTTATTTCTTTCTAACAAATACAGAGAAGAAGGTTTTGCAACCGCTATGATTTCTACCAAGGAAATTGCACTTGAAATAGATATCGAACCCAAATTTTGTAAGAAACGTGTGATATATAGGAAGTAACAATTTGATGCGAATGTTGATAATGAAATCCCAAAATCTTTCGAAAAGTCCTTTAGAGTTGATTACTTTTATACATAATAGACAAGGCTATTTTTTCACTTCAAAATAGATTTGAACAATTCGAAGCATATGAAAATATTTTTAATTTTTTATTTGGCAGTAAAAACTAAGATCACTAGATGTTGGAAATTTCAAAAAATATTGCCTTAATCTTGAATTTTCTTTAAAGCATAATAATCAATTCGATATTGATGATTTAGATTTATTTTCTGAATTAAAAGTATTAAGGAAAATAGTACAATTAGAAGATAATAATTTAATTGATAAACTTAATCAAATAAAAGGATTTAATTCTTTTCCAAATGCCTAAATTACTTATGGAATAATATTTATAACTCAAGTTACCGTTGCTTCAGTGCAAAAAAGTTTTCAAAATTAAAATTGATAAAATCTTACCTAAGAACAACAATGTCACAAGAAAGGTTAAGTGGATTCCCTATATTGTCAATTGAGAAATACTTATTAGGAGTTATGATTATAAGAAAATTAAATTACTATGCATCTCAAAAAAGCTAAAAAAAATAGACTTCAAATCAATTTTAAAAAAAATTTAAAAATTTAAGGCCCCTCGTAAAGTTTGGCTTTATGCCATAAAATTCGTCGGGCCGCCCCTGAATCAAAGAAAGATAACTAGCTCAAAGGGTTAGCAAAGGGTTGAAGTGTTTGTGGTAGCGAGAATGAAAACCTTCGTCATCCCAATCGAATAATATCGGTACCGCAGAAGGGTTAAACGTAATACCTTTTGACCGCGTCGGCATTTACTGTTGTTTCAGGGTTATTTCCTTCAATGTCTCCCAAGTACAATGCCCTTTTGGCAATAAGTTTCTTATAATGTATGGACCTTTCCAGTTTGGAGCGAACTTTCCTTTTGTTTCCTTGTGATACAGGAGAATACGTCTCAAAACAAGTTACCCCACTTCAAAGTATCTAGGTCGTACTTTCTTGTTGTAGGCACGAGATATTCTTTGTTGATACAACTGCCCGTGGCAAACTGTGGCCATCCGCTTTTCATCAATCAGGGTTAGCTGTTCTAGACGGGTCTTGACCCACTCACTATCCTCAATCTCAGCTTCAACGATGATTCGGAGAGAAGGAATGTCAACTTCTGCGGGTATTACGGCTTTAGTGCCATAAACCAATAGATAGGGTGTTGCTCCAACTGATGTGCGCACAATTGTGTGATAACCCAACAATGCAAATGACAACTTTTCATGCCATTGTCTAGAACTTTGGATCATCTTCCTAAGAATCTTTTTGATGTTCTTGTTTGCTACTTCGACAACATCGATAGCTTTGGGCATATAAGGGGTAGAATTTCGATGCGTGATCTTAAATTGTTCGCATACTTCCCTCATCAAATGACTATTCAGATTTGCAGCATTGTCCGTAATGATAGTTTTAGGAATACCAAAATAGCAGATGATGTTGGAGTGCACGAAGTCTACCACTGCTTTCTTAGTGACGGCTTTGAGAGTGACTGTTTCAACACATTTTGTGAAGTAGCCAATGGCAACCAATATGAATCTATGCCCATTTGAAGCTTTTGGCTCGATTGGCCCAATGACATCCATACCCCAAGCAATGAACGACCATGGTGCTGACATAGGATGCAGTTTTGAAGGTGGTGCATGAATCAGGTCACCGTGCACCTGACACTGATGACATTTTCGGACAAAACTGAAGTAATCCTTTCCATAGTCATCCAGTAATAACCTGCTCGAACGATTTTCTTTGCCATGACGTATCTATTCATATGGGTCCACACACTCCTGCGTGTACTTCATTCATGATTCTTCCGGCCTCTTGGGCATCCACGCATCTTAGAAGGTTCAGATCCGGAGTCCTTTTGTACAAGACCTCCCTGCTCAAGAAAAAGCCACTAGAAAGCCTTCTAATGGTTCTCTTTTGGTCTTCATTGGCTTGCTCGGGATATTCCTTTGTTTTCATCTTGATATCATGATACCATGGCTGAACATTTGGTTCCACCTCAATCGTATTGCAATAACCATGGCTTTCTCGGATTTGGATTTCCAACGGGTCAATGTGGACATCGCCTGGATATGGCAACATTGAGACCAAAGTAGCGAGTGCATTGGCCAAGTCATTATGAAACCGAGGAGTGTACCTGGACTTGACTGACTTGAACCGCTTGCTAAGATCTTCCATATGTTGCTTGTATGGAATAAACTTGACATCCCGAGTTTCCTATTCACCCTGAGCTTGTCGGATAATCAAGTCCGAATCTCCCATGATTAATAATTCTTCCACATCTTGGTCGATTGCCAAGTTCATACCCATAATGCAGGCTTCATACTCGACAGTGTTGTTGGTGCAGAAAAGCCGAAGCTGGGATGTGAAAGGATAGTGCTGACCAGTGGGTGAGATCAAGATTGCCCCTATCCCGACACCTTTTGCGTTCACAGCTCCATCGATAACATTTTCTAAGCATTGGTGTCTTCTAAAATTACCTCAATTGAATTTACTTCCTCGTCCAGAAAGTAAGTACTCAGAGAGTGATATTCATCATCAATAGGATTTTCCGCTAAGTGATCCGCTAAGGCTTGAGCTTTCATTGCCTTGCGGGTGACATAGACTATGTCAAACTCGGTGAGCAGGATTTGCCATTTTGCTAACCTTCCCATGGGCATCGGCTTTTGGAATACGCACTTCAAAGGATCCAACCTGGTGATGAGATAGGTGGTGTAGGCCAACAGGTAATGCCTAAGCTTCTGAGCGACCCAAGTTAGGGCACAACAAGTCCTTTCAAACAAAGTGTATTTGGCTTCGTAACTAGTGAACTTCTTGCTCAAATAATATATTTCATGTTCTTTCTTCCCGGTCATATCATGTTGCCCGAGAACGCACCCAAAGGAATTCTCCAACACTATCAAATACAAAAACAGAGGCCTCTCAAGTTTGGGTGGGACCAAGACTGGCGGATTCGACAGATATTCTTTGATTTTGTCGAAGGCTTCTTGACACTCATCTGTCCATTTAATCACTGCATCTTTCTTCAACAGCTTCAATATGGGCTCACATGTGAAAGTCAACTGAGCAATGAACCGGCTGATGTAATTCAAGCTTCTCAACAAACTCATAACCTCTTTCTTGGTTCTCGGAGGAGGCAAATCCCGAATAGACTTTATCTTTGTGGGATCTATCTCAATGCCCCTCTGACTGACTATAAATCCCAAGAGTTTCCCAGACGGAACTCCAAATGCACATTTAGCTGGATTTACCTTCAAGTCATACTTACGCAGATGCTCAAAGAACTTTCTCAGATCCCGAACATGGTCATCCTGCATTCTTGATTTAATGACTACATCGTTCACATACACCTCAATTTCTTGGTGCATCATGTCATGAAAGATGACAGTCATAGCTCTCATGTAAGTTGCCCCAGCGTTCTTCAAACCAAAAGACATGAACCTGTAACAATAGGTGCCCCAGGGTGTGGTGAAGGCTGTCTTTTCCGAGTCTTATTCATCCATCAAAACCTGATGATATCAAACATAACAATCCACGAAAGACTGTATCTCATGTTTGACACAGTTGTCAACAAGGATGTGGATATTTGGCAAAGGGAAGTTGTCTTTGGGACTTGCTTTGTTCAGATCCCGATAGTCAACACACACTTGAGTTTTCCCATCTTTCTTTGGCACTTGAACCACATTAGCCAACCATGTGGTGTATCGGACCACTCGGATCACCCCCGCCTTTAACTGTTTGGTGACTTCTTCTTTGATCTTGTCACTGATGTCAGTTTTGAACTTCCTCTATTTTTGCTGGACAGGGGGATGATCGGGGTAAGTTGGCAATTTGTGTACCACTAAATCAACACTTAGTCCTGGCGTATCATCATAAGACCAAGCAAACACATCTTTGAATTCGAACAAAAGTTGGATCAATGAATCCCTAGTTCTTTCATCCGTGTGAATGCTTATCATGGTTTCTTGGACCTCTTCTGAACTACCCAAATTAACCGGCTCGGTTTCATTTAAGTTTGGCTTAGGTTTATTCTCGAATTGTTCTAGTTCTCGATTTATTTCCCTAAAAGCCTCATCTTCATCATATTCTGGTTCTTGATTCATTATTTCACAGTTAGACAACGTGCTATGATCTGGGCATGAAGTCCGTAAGCATGTCATGTTATTTATGTTTGCATTATTAGAACTGGAAAGAAGAAATAAGAAAAGTAACAAAAATCAGAAAGAATAAAGAAAGAGATTCATAGATGATGAAATATTGATTCATTTCATTGAATTTGAAGATAGAAGGGTTTACATTGGAATTTTAAAGACAATAAACTAAAAGAAACATTCGAGTTACACCCTGGAATAATTTGGAATGCAGAAAAGGTGGCAAGACTAGACTACTGGGATTCCCGCCTGACTGGGAACGGAGTAGCATTCCAATTCTGAAGCTTGGCATCAGGCCCCATATATTGCACCTCAGCAGTGCTCGAGCCTTCTCCCGGCTACACCATGTGAGCTTCATACAACATTTGCCTCATGGCTCCACATATGTCCTCAATTTCTTCGGTCGTGAAGGCCTCATCGTCCTCTTCTTTTATATACTTTGGCTTAACAGATGTTCTGGCGAGATACGAGACCGGCTGAGGTAGAACCCACCCATTATTCTTATGTTCTTTAGCCCATTTCACATCGGCTTCTGTAGCTTGGAAACCGACACCAAAGAAGTTCTTACTGGCAGCCAAGGTGATGGGCTCTATAATACCTTGCAAAGATGCCCCGAGCCCCTTTCCAGGCTTATAACCGTGCTTGATCATTTCAGTAGTGACCATGATTGACGCATTTGACAAAAAGGGTTGAGGACACGGGCTTCCTTCATCACATTGATCTGCGATCACAACCTCAAAAGCTTGATAGACTATGTGCTCGCTACCTTCCCTAGCCTCGAGACATGGAACTGACGGGTCCTTGTAAATTGATTGCCCATCCTCTCTATGGACTATGATTTCCTGATCTTCGTGTTCAAATTTTACCATTTGGTGGAGATTAGAAGGTACGACCCCTGCAGCATGGATCCAAGGCCTTCCTAAGAGAAAATTATAAGAGGTGTCCATGTCCAAGACCTGAAATGTCACTTCGAAGTCCACAAGACCGATAGTCAAGATCAAATCAATCTCTCCTATTGTGTCTCTCTTGATGTCATCAAAATCATGCACACAAACATTGTTAGGCCTGATTCTCTCAGTCCCAATTTCCATTCTTTGCAAAGTTGAGAGAGGGCAGATGTCAACCCCAGATCCGCCATCCAGCATGACTCTTTTCACATAGTACCCTTCACATTTAACTGTCAGATGAAGAGCTTTGTTGTGGGCATCCCTTTCTGGGGGCAAGTCATTTCTGCGAAATGAAATCCGATTGACTTCGAAGAATCATTCCGCCATCATTTCCAGTTGCTCAACAGTGGTTTCAATTAGAACATATGCTTCATTGAGGGTCTTTATCAACACTTTCTGATGCTCAGTCGAGCTTCTCAGTAGAGACAAGAGTGAGACCTGAGAGGGAGACTTCCGGAGTTGGTCAATTACCTCGTAGTCCAAAGTTTTCATTTTTTGGAAGAATTCCTCTGCTTCTTCGGCACTGACTGGATTTTTAAGCGGAAAACGCTTCTGCTTGGCGTTGTTCACTTCTTCCAGATTGAGGTACTTCCCAGATGGGTTAGTTTCATTTACTTCCCCATGATTTCTTTCCCCCGTACGTCACAATTGCTTTGTTGTAGTTCCAGGGGACTGCAGTGGGGTCTTTCATGGGCTTTTGTGGTGCACGGCTAATGATCACGGGCTCGTTCAGCCCCGGTGAAATTATTGGTCCCCGCGCCATATAAGTCCATTTGGGTACATATATCTTAGGTCCCTTGTTTAGCTTGAACATTTTAAGAGGTCTCAATGCGAATTGTTCTTTTCTGAAGGCCCAGGGAACAAAGAATGGCATCCTTAGGGGGTACTGCCCCTGTTTTGGTTTCTACCGTCTTTTCTACACTTTAAGGGGCAGAGTTACTCTTCTTCTCCCCCTTATCTTGCTTTGCAGCCGCCCTTGGCTTCTTTTCAATATCGGCGATGGAAATGATGGCTTTCAAAGCTGGGTCAAACTCTTTATTATCACAAATCATCCCAATAACTAGCCCGTTATTGTGAGCCGGTAATGGGTTGTTGGTCATATTGGGGATCTCTTCATCTTTCAACACTATCTGCTTTTGCTCTATTAGACTTTAGACCGCCCTTTTAAGAGTCCAACATTCTTCAGTGTCATGCCCTTCCGCTCCTGAATGGTAAGCACATCGGGCACCATATTGGTAGGAGGGCGACTCTAGGTTTTGCCTGGTTTAGGGTACGGGTTACAACAAACCCATTTGGACCAGTTTAGGGAAAAGGCTAGAGTATGATTCACCAATAGGCATGAATTTGGTTCTTCTGGGTGGCTCCCGGGCACGGGCATTGTATGGAAAATTATTTTGTGGGGGACGGGGATTATATGGAGCTTGGTGAGGAGGGTTATTTCTAGGAAGTGGAGCTCGATTTTGGTTAAACTGTTGTTGTGGCCGAGCGTATGGCTAGACATTCATCACCGTATAAGGCTGAGGAGCCATGGCATAAGCCACATCCTAGTGAGGATAATAATGTTGCGGGGTGTTTGGCAGGAAGTAACCTCGGGGTTGATGGGGGTTGACGGGGGTTTCTCAGGCTTGAAGCCACCATCGCCACTTCTTCTTTCTTCTTTATGTTTGCTACACCTCCTGACCCACTCTGGATTGCTTTAGACGTAGCTCTTATAGCAGACTGGCTCAATATGTGGCCTGTCTTCAAACCATTTTCGACCATCTCCCCAATTTTGATAGCCTCATCAAACGGCTTTCCCATTGTAGAAATCATATTCTGGAAGTAGTCAGCCTCTTGGGCTTGTAGAAAAACACTGACCATCTCGGTCTCATCCATCGGAGGTTTTCCCCTGGCTGCTTATTCGTGCCACTTAACAGCATATTCTCGGAAACTCTTCGAAGAATTCTTTTTGAGATTAGACAAGGAATTTCTGTCTAGAGATATGTCTATATTATACTGGAATTGCCTGAGGAAATCTCAAGCCAAATCATCCCATATGTGCCAGCGAGATATGTTTTGATCCATGTACCACTCGGATGCA